ACATATCCAAAACGGCATGAAATTAGGTCAGTGCCAAAGTACAGATGCAATGTTTAGGCTATATTGCATATACAGCAACTACAAAATGTCAGCTGGGATCAAAGATCACAATAATGCACTCAAGGTAAAGATATATAATGTAGAAACATAAAAACGTACAGGAAATGCCTTCTCAAGGGCTATGAATGATGGATGGCACAGGATGAACAGATGTCACCTTAGCTGGAGCACACATGCTATTCTGAAATGTCTCAGGCTAACTTCCTGTCACATGGGAACTAAAAATAACTGCTTCATGCGGTACGGGAAGTCACCAGAAGGAGTCACTATAACACACAAAATAATTGGCTGTGCCAGAACAGTAACTACACTTCTAAAAGGGGAAAATTAATAATCTTTTTTCTCAAAGTAATGATAAACCTTTGAGTTGGATGTAGAAAAGTCAGAATCAATATAGATGTTTTTTATTTTAAAGAAAATTCAGATTGAACATAGTAAAAAACTGTAAATTATAGTGTCCGACCTGACAAAAAAATATGTTTTACTTATAGAGAAAACCACCCTTGAATGATGGGATGGTAGACTAAAAGCTTTAGGAATCCAAAGTACAACATATAATAAGTACCCTGTATCAAGATTGATGCAAAACAAGTGACATTTGACCTTTTTAGAGAGGTTTATAAAAAAAAAAAACACTTCTGGGGTCATTTGGTTGGATTTTCCATATCTATGGTCCCCCTTGGTCGATTTTGCTGATTGACATCTCTTGTTAACCGCTAGAGCCAATGGAATCGAGGGAAGGTTCCACATACACACACAGGTTACGAAATAAGGAGTGAGAGTGACGCGTAGCTTGTGTTGTGACACACTCTGGTGGCTACCATTAGCAGCTAATTTTTATTCTCCGATTTTTGCATACAAATTGAATTATGGATTATCAATACTTTTTTCAAAGTGGCAGACACATTGGATTAACCTATGAATTAACCTTCAGCGGCGTTTTTTCTCGTTTTAATGCCATTGAACACAACTTTTGATCAGAATAACAGCTAAGGTGAGCATATCTCCGTGTTTTGCTACCTAAAGCTACATCGTGTGTTGTCTGTATTTGCTTCCCCTGTCACAAGTTCTGATCGCTCAGTGATGATCCTTATATTTCTATAATCTGTGGACTCTCAGGACGTTATCTAAACTTGTTTGTGCAGATCCAATAAGTATATCGACCGGTATAGCTAGAGTTCTGTGCTAACAGCCTTAATATTTTTTCGCTTGTGGCTAATTCAGAGGCTCAGCGTTAGCTTTGTGGGTTTTTTTGCAACAAAAAAAAGAAAAAGATCAGTTAGCTGAGTTTCTTCCCGTTACATGGATATGAAACATTCATAGTTTATTAAATATTAAGAAGCCCTCAGCCGCTGTTTCCTGCAGATGATGTGTTTTTCCACCCGGGGGCGGGTCGATGGGGTTCAACAGGTTATGGGAGAGGCAGTCATTTTAAGTATAGGTGGAAGAAGTATTCAGCTACAGTTAGATGTATGGTGTCAAAATACTTAGTGACAAGCTAAAGTATTGAATGAAAAACCTCACTTTAAAAATGAACAAATAAAGTAAAAAAGTGTCATAATATACATAAAGTACAAAAAGTTTACATTGTGCCGAATGGCAGATTTTGTATCATATGACATCGTTGGATTGTACTATTTTATGATCTGCTGCTGGCATGATTAACGTTTGAGTTGTCCAATACATGTAACGCAGTAAAATGAACCCTATATCTCTCTGCAATAGTGGAATAAACGTACAGTATAAAGCAGAACAGATTGGTACAGTACTTGAATCAAAGCTTTTTGGTGTTATCTTTAAAGACCTCCCTTAACTCCACTGCAGAATGATTTTACAGTGAGGACATACAATCTTAAAGGGGACGTGTTATGCAAAATGCACTTTTTGATGTCTTTCATACATAAATATGTGTCCCCGGTGTTTAGGGAGTCTCACAAAGTGTTAGAAAACAAAACCCTCTCTGTTTTCCTCCGTACCCAAATCTCTAAAAACGGGGGTACAACGGAGCTGATCCAGATTTGCGTCCGATATGACATAATATCGGCAATGCGGACCCACGGCCCTATCAGAAAGTTGCTGTATCAGAAAAAATGCCTGATGTGTTTTGGAAGTAATATGGTCTTTGTTTACATTAGCAAGCATCGCTAACACTCAGGGCTAACCTGTACCGGAGAAAGTATTTGTAAAAAAGCAGGAAATAAAAAAACGAACTCACCTTGTGGTAAACCCACAATAGAAAAAGCATTTGAGCTCCATACTGTTTCAGAAATAATCCTTGAAGTGGTTTGGAACATGATGGCATTTAATCACAGCAGTGTTTAGCTGTAGCCTATCCGACGGTAGAATTCTGAGCAGGCATTAGCTCCCCTCCTCTTTCTTTTTTTTTCAAGCTAAGGACCCAAAATCATCGTTTCTCTAACAGGGCTGGAATAGAGGGATATGAGGGATGTCTAAAATGCATGATTTTATGTATTTGTATATATCTGATGAAAACGCCCCATATTATTTATCACTTGGTTTTGGATTTTTCTTAATTGCCTTTCAGGGCTTCCGAACAGTTTTGCATTTTTCAAGCACCATATGGGTGGCCATATGGAGAGTGAGGCTGTTCAGATCTACACATGGCACAGCCTCCCAGAACCAGAGGAGAGCGAGACAGGCTCCACACATCAATACAGTGTTCGTCTTTCACGTGTAGAAATACCAAACCATCAGTCACACAGCAGGCAGCACGGGCGAGTCCATGGACACATCCTCCCTGAACACGTGTGCAAAATGTGTGCCATTTTTCTCTCATTCACACCTTGGATTGAATCATATTTAGCAGACTCCTTTGTATTTTATCCTTCCTTTTTTATTTTTACTTAGTTGCTGTTCTGACTCACGATCACTTTGTTATGATGGTAAAGACAAGGCTAAACTGGTTGAAAAGTGAATATATGGTTATATAATTTTTCATCTTTATTTTTTGTGATTTAGTAATTACAGGACAGGTAAAGACAAAAATACACAAGAAAAAACTCAAAACTAAATTCCAATGGGGACCAAAGCAAACTAAATAATATAAAAAATCATTGATAACAAACATAATAAAATAAATAATAAATAATAATGATACAGAAGAAGAACATGTATATTAGGCCTTGACACACAGATGAGATTTGTTAGTAGACCATATGAATGGTGGTTTTGTTCTTTTCGTGTGATTTGTTTTTTCATTAAATCCATCAAATCAATATACGTATGTAGGGGATTGGATTTCCAGTTTATCTGAAACTGTATATAAATTGTATTTCAATACATTTTACATAAAAATGATGCCTTTTGATCCCTTGGCTTTTTCCATTTTTTTCCAGGCATTATTTGAAGATGACATCTTTGTTTGGGGTGTCATGCTATGAGTTGCATCAACAGATAATCTTTTTCTCCGTGAACCTGCTGAACTGAAGAAAGTCAGAACTTAAGTCCTCTTTGTGCTACTGTACTCTCTACTACGGGCATGCAGGTATTTGGATTACATAATATAACGATAGTCATAAACCACCACCAAGGCAGATATGATTGAGGTGAAGAGAAGAATGGTTGACTGTGACTAGTGCTGATAACACGCCCAAACAAAAGACCCTGCACTGATAGAGGCGATAGCAAAAGATGCGGCAATATTTTGGGTGGGTACAATGTTTTAATTTACACGCTTACGTGTCTAGAAATGTGTTAACATTTTGATGGACGACCACGATCTTTATCTGACTTGCAAACTATCCAAACGCCATCATCCTATCAATTTTAGCATGAACGATAAACTAGCTCGTTGATTTGCAGATGGGAAAATTCCCCCCGGTCAGGGTCTTTGCTTTGATCACGACCTCAGCAAGATGGCTCCTCAGATCTCAGATGTACACCACCAACACCTGCGTCCATGTTGTTTGGCTATGCTCCATTGGCTGTCTATCAACACCAGCGCTGATAGACTGCAAGGTCTGCCTGCAAAATAAATGACCAAATTACCTGTGGGAAAAAAACAAGGAGACCAGGAGAAACCGGTGAGAAAATGTAACTTTAGTGTGAGAATAAGGAGAGACCTGTGAATGAGATGTAATTGATAATATATCTAGGTCATCATAACTCTCTGAAACTGAAAATAACGAAGGTTTAAGGGAAGATATGCATCTAAAATTCTACAAACACATTGTTACTTTATCAACGATTAATTATTTTAGTTCACATTTAAATATAACTGATGCATTTAAGGACTCTGCTCTGATTGGTCCGTGTTTCCAAGACTTCTGTATCTGCATTCTTGGTCTCTCTTTTCCTTTTAGCCTGGCAATTAATGTAATGTTATTAAAGCTGCAATTTTTACCTATGGGTTGTAAAGTTGTGTCACATTACAAATCATGGAATCGCTACTTGTGGGTCCATAACGTGATGCAATTTGAAAAGCTTTTTTCCATAGCAAAATACATATTGTATTTTTGTACTTCCCAGGACTAACACTTCAATAGTCCTCATTTAAATGAATCGAGAATTATTTTTGTGTGCTCCTTGTATGGTCATTATTCCAATAATCGGGAATCTGGGAGGCAGGGTTAAAGGAAACTCTAGTGCATGCTCTATAAGCCCATGGATGCAGATGATAGTCAAAATATCCAGGTTTTTTTTGCCAAGGAGACCAGGAACTAGCAACTTTGGACTTATAAGAGACAGCCCGTCTCCAATGTAGTATCCAGTTCTCTTTACACATCCATGCTTTCTGAAGACCGGCTGTGTGCATATCTCCATTATTTTAGGGTTCTGGTGTTTTCATAGTGTTTATGTATCACAAATACATAGAAAACTCTCTAACTAATTTAAATTATGAAGTGCTCCCAAAAAGGGGTGCGCGAAAAAAAAAAAAAAAAACAACAACGTGTGAGTTTTAACAACATGTTTATTTATTATCATTTTGCACAAAGATGGCACTGTTTGTCAGAGCACTTCATCCTTCTGGGTTTCATGAAGAACAGCTCCAACGCCTGAGTGTATGGGAACGCCTCTGGTGCTGGTCCATTAACTGCTATCCGCAGACATGCAGCCAGGTGCTTCCCTTTCAGTCGGTTTCTCAGGTCAGTTTTCACCTGTAAAACAGACAGTTTGTTTTAAATGAACTATACAGAAATGACATGCAAAACACTTACCCTGTTCATCGTTGAGAAATCCCTCTCGCAGTTTACACTGGAGACGGGGATGACCAGCCCCACTGAAGATAGAAGGCAGAGGTTTGGGTATATTTCTGCCCATTCGTCCTTCTCACTGGCCAGGAGGTGCATGATCTCAGCTTGTGTCTTGTCCTTCAGAGATTAGCCAAGGCAGGGCAAATGAGCATACAGTATAATTGAAACATTTACAGATGTCAAAAACAAGCAATTCTAACCGTCAAGACAGATGAGAGTTCATATTAATTCAGGTAATTTACCAACCTTAAATGCTCCTACGAGAACATGCTGCTTGTACGAGGTCCACTCTTGAATAACTGTGGCATCCTGCCCTGGGATGAATTTGTTGGTAAGGGTCTGCAACATTGAAATGTTGGTCACATCATTTGAGGTAACTGCCTTTGGACCCAGGACACTGAAGGCCCCCAGCAATTCAATATGCTGGAACCTCCTCTTAATGTTCCTCTCCAGGCTGCAGATGTAAGGTTTGAGGACCTGGAATGATATATTATACATTTTTCAGTTCAAGGAAAAAAAAATATTGAAATTAAAAGTAAGAAGGGATGTATTTACATCTGTGACAAATCTGGCCCACATCTCTTCCCGGGGGCGCTCCAGAATTCCGTGTCCCCTCCTGATCCTCTCCTCCTCTCCGGCAATGCTAAAGGCCCCAAGTCCACCTGGGTTGTCCAGGTCTTGGTGTAGGCGAGCAAGGAACGTTCCGGGGAGTGGGGTCTCACCTGCCTCCAGAATTCTCCCCAGAGTAACAAGTGTGACTGGCACCTAAATGTGGAAAAATACAACAATATAATAGGATGGATAATGCAAATAACTGGGAGCATCAAATGCATTTCTTTGTAATCTACCTGCTCCTTTATGTGAAGAAAGTTCACATCAGCTCTCTGAAACACCTTGGACACCATTGCTATGTGGGGCAGCACATCTGCCTGAAGGTAGAGGGCAGCCACAAAGCGGTATGTGGCACAGAAGGTGTATAGACCTTTGGCCACTGCGCACTTCCTTCTGCTCGCTTCTTCTGCCAGAGCAGCCAGCACAGCTGGAAGGTTCCTCTGGAGGTTTTGAACGGCTAGGTCCTGCGATAGCCACCTTGTATCTTTCACCTCCTAACAACAAGTAGAAACACTGGTAAGTAAATAAATAATATGACACCACAATAGTATTATGAAAATTGGTGAAAACACACCTTAACTTTCAAGTTGTTCAGACCAAGAGTGGTAGTGGCAGATCTCAGTGTGGCTGACCTATTTGCACTATTTCTGAAGAATAGGTGCAGTTCCTGCAGGTGGTTCCTGAAGTTTGCCATATACCTGACAGCATTTGAGGCATCTTTGCATGCCAGTGCTAGTCTGTGAGCAGCACACGCTACAGAAACCAGCTTTGGAAAACTGTCTGTGAGCTGCTTTGCCACTCCATTCAGACGGCCTAGGTTTAAGAATCACAATCCATTAGATTTAACAATAAACTCCATACCCGTCATCACCGCTGCACCGTCTGTCCCGAGTCCGTAGAGCCTGTCTACCCGGAGCTCCTTCTTCTGTAGTACACTCTTGATGGCAGCAACCACGCTGTCAGCTTTCCCATCTTCCAGAGTTACCAGGTCAAGGAAGTGGTTGAAAACACAACCCTCTTTATCCAGGTGTCTAAAATAAAATGGTTTTCACATATATTAATAAATATTAAGTTTAACTAGGCCTACATCTTTATTTAAATGCGCATCATTCCTTTAAAAAAATACCCCACCTAACATGTAAATCCAGCTGGCGGCTTACAGATACATCTGTCGTTTCATCAACCTCTAGGCTGATTGCTTGAGATGACCTTATCTCTTGCAAAATAGGCAACTCTACTATCTGTGCAAGGATCTCCAGCATTTCATCCACTATTCTGTGTGATTGGTAATTGTTTCTTTGATCCACCCGAGAAAAAAAGGAGATCATTTAACATTTAACTGGTTAAAGTTCTTAGTTTCACAAGCATCAATTTGTACTATAGGTTTACCTTCAGCTTTTCAAAGTAATCACAACCCAAAAGCTGAGCTAAACTTAACAGCTTAGGGTAGTTGGTGTGGTGAGCCATCTCATTCTTTACTAGTACGTAAAAGCATTTGAATCCACCTATGACGGCCTCATGCTCCATAATAACTGTGGGCTCAAAAGCCTGCATCACTGAGTAGCCTAGACCAAGGGCAAAGACATAATTCACTATATGAGCCAAACTTGGTTGATAGATTGCAGAAATGAGCTATACATAAAAAAAATGATATACCTGATGCAAGTGAGACCTAATGCTTTACACCAGGGGTCGGCAACCTTTTTGATATGAAGTGCAATNGCGCTCTCTTTTACTGCATATAGCTGTCCACTAGCACTTGTGTCTGTGTGTGCTACCAACACAAAATTCCAAACAGCGCACCGAAGAGTACGTTAGTCAGCACACAGACACAAGTGCTAGTGGACAGCTATATGCAGTAAAAGAGAGCGCGAGAGTTAAAGAGGAGAGCCCCATGTTACATGTATATTCCCATCCCCAAGCATCAGGCGATGAGTTAAAGGAAAAATCTCCAGCATCAGAGTATCACATACTATCCAGCTACTGTTGGGGCAGAACTTCTGCTCCGCGCCGTTCCGATATGAGCGGGTTCTCAAAAGAAGGAAAAATTCAAAGCAGCCAGGAGAAGGGTTAAACAATAATCAGTTTTAATGGTAAAACATACAATACATCACCCAATCTCCTATAAACGAAGCACTCTGCAGAGTACTCCTGGCTCAGGTTCTACCACCGTGTGATATACGTACCACGACAGCCAGTCAGAAACAAGAGCGCCGATCAGGTGGGGAGGAGTTTTGTCGCTTGCTCTTCCCTAGCTATTTATTTATTGGCGAGTTCACTTCTGAGCGAGCTAGCCAGTGAGTTGGCAGTGTTCCGTTGGTCGGTTTCACTTCTGGGCGGGACCCCAGGCAGTGAGTCAGCAGTTTGTTGATTCCATCTGTTTCTTCTTACAGTGTGTGTAATATGATGTCCCCATTGTGTAGGCAATGTCTTCAGCA